GGGGGCACAACACCAGGGGGAGGTCAGCACCAGGGGGGATTAGCACCAGCAAGGTGAGAGGCAGGATGGGGATCAGTACCAGTGGGATGGGCAGCACGGGGGCAGCACCAATGGCGGGCAGCTGCCCATCCCCTGATGCTGACCCCTCTCCTGCCTCTCACCTTTCTGGTGCTGATCCCCCCTACCCCCCTTGCTGATCCTCCCGGTCCTGACCCCCCACCTGGTGCTGACCCCCTTCCTTGTGCTGACACCGCCTGGTGCTGACTGGCCTCCTGCTTCTCACCTTCCTGGTGCTGACCTGCCCTTGAGCTGCCGCCCCCTGGTGGGGTCCTTCAATGGTGCTGACCATCCCTGGTGTTGACCCCCCTCCTCACCTTTTTGGTGATCCCCCCCCCCGTGCTGACCCCCCTCCTTCTCACCTTCCTGTTGCTGCGCCCCCCGGGTGCTGCCCCCACGCCTGGTGCTGACACCCCTCCTGGTGCTGAGCCCCCCCTGGTGCTGACCCCCCCCCTGCTGTTGACTACCCCCTGGTGTTGACACTCTTGGTGCTTCCCCGCCCTGGTGCTGATCCCCCTCCTGCTTCTCACCTTCCTGGTGCTCCTCCCACATTGTCCTGCCCCACTAAGGTGCTGCCCACACCCTGATGCTGATCTCCCTGGTGTTGACCGCTCCCTGGTGTTGTCCCCACTGGTGCTCCCCCCCTGGTGCTGAGCCCCAGTGCTGCCTCTCACCTTCCTAGTGCTGACTCCCCCCCTCTGATCCTCACCCCCGTCCTGACATCCCAATTGGTGCTGACCCCCCCCCCCCGCCTTTCACCTTTCTTGTGCCGACTCCCTCTTGGTGCTGATCCCCACCCCTGTTCTTGACACCCCATCTATTGCTGACCGCCAACTGGTGCTGCTAAGGCCGTCGTGCTGACCCACCTCCTGCTTCTCAGCCTCTTGATGCTCCCCCACCCCAGTGCTTCCCCCTGGTGCTGCCCCCCCCCCCGGTGCTGACCCCCTCTGCTGCTTACCCCCCTTGGTGTTGATTCCCACCTGATGCTGACGTCACCCTGATGATGCCCACACCTGGTGCTGCCCCCCCCCCGCCGTGCTGAACCCTCCCTGGTGCTGACACCCTTCTTGCTTCTCACCTTCCTAGTGCTGCCCCTTCATGGTGCTGACCACCCCGGGGCTGACCCACCTCCTCCCTCTCACCTGCCTAGTGCTGATCCCCTTCCTGCTTCTAAGCTCCCTGGGACCCCCTGTGCTGCACCCCCCCCCCCCGTGCTTCCCCCACCCCTGATGGTGACTCCCACACTTGCGCTGATCCCCGCCTGGTGCTGCCCCTCCCGGTGCTGCCCCCCCATGAGGACCCCCCTGCCCGGTTCTGCCCCACACCTGGTGCTGACCCCACCCAGTGGAGACCCCCTACTTCTCACCTTCCTGGTTCTGACACCCCCCCGTGGTGCCCTCCCCCTGGTGCTGTGCACCTCCTAGTGCTCAACCCCATGGTGCTGACTCACCTCCTGCTTCTCTTCCTGTTGCTGACCCCCCCTTCTATCTCTCGCCTTCCTGGTGCTGAAACCCCCCCCCACTGTACTCACCCCAACCTTGTGCTGAACCCCCAGTGCTGACCACCGCCCTGTGCTGCCTCCCCCGGTGCTGACCCCCCTATTGCTGACCCCACCCCAGGTGCTGCCCCTACTCTGTGTTAATCCTCCTGGTGCTGCACCCCGGTACTGCCCCCCTCCCCTGGTGCTCATCACCCTCTGCTTCTCACCTTCACGGTTCTTCCCCCACCCCCCACCCCCGCTGCTGACCACCCTCTGGTGCTGACGCCCCTCCTGCTCCTCCTGCTTCTCACCTTCCTGGTGCTGACCCCCTCCTGCTTCTCACTGGTGCTGCCCCCCTCTGGTGCTGACCCCTCCCCTGGGTTTGACTCCCCTCCTGTAAGACTAGAAAACCCCATTTAGATGAAACTACATGACAGTTCTTGTGATTCCGTCTATGCTGAAAGAGCCGGCAAAAGAAACGCATGTGAACTAGTGCATAGAACATGCAGGTAACTCACTCCTCATAGAAATCACACATCATAGTCAATTTCTCCCCTCTCACACCTATCAACCTTCAGACTAGAAAACCGCACTTGGATGAAATTATGTTACAGTTCTTCATATTTTGTTTGTGCTGAAAGAGCCTGTAATAGAAATGGATGTGAATTAATGCATAGAACATGCAGGTAACTCTTTCCCCATAGAAATCATACATGACAGTCAACACGCTTACAACTGTCACCCTTAAGACGAGACAACCACATCTGTATGAAATTACTTTACAGTGTTTGTGTTTCTGACTGTGCTGAAACTGCTTATGATAGAAATGTATGTGAACAAGCTCCTGGAAAGTGGATGTAACAAATTCCCTATAGAAATAATAAATGATAATCAGTTTCAATACTGTTACAGCTGTAACCCTGAAGACAAGAAAACAGGATTTGAATGAAACTACATTACAGTCCTTGTGATTCTGGGCACGCTGAAAGAGCCTGCAATAGAAATGTATGTGAACTAGCTCATTAAACCTGGGGTTAACTCATTCCACATAGAAATCATACATGATAGTCAATTTCAACACTAATACAACTGTAAGTCTTTAGACTAGTAAACTTGTATTTGATGAAAACACATTACAGTTCTTGTCATTCTGTGTACGCTGACAGAAGCTTCAATAAAAATGTTTGTGAACTGGCTCCTAGAACGTGGATGTAACACATTGCATTTACAAATCATACAGGCTAGTCAATATCAACACTTTTACGCCTATAAACCTTAGGACTAGTCAACCCGATTTGGATGAAAATACATTCCTTTTCTTGGGATTTTTTTCTGCGCTGAAAAAGCCTACAGTAGAAATTTTTGTGAACTAGCTGTTAGAACTTGGGGGGTACCTCCCTGCGCATAGAAATCATACATGATACTCAATTTCAACACTCTTACATCTGTAAACCCTTAACACTAGAAAACCTGATATGGATGAATATGCATTCCAGTTCTGATGATTCTGTCTGTGCGAAAAGAACCAGCAATATAAATGTATGAGAAATAGCTTCTAGAATGTGGGGGTAACACATTCCATGGAGAAATCATACATGACAGTAAATTTCAGCACTCTAACATCTGTAAACCATAGGATTAGAAAACGCTATTTGAACGGATATACTCCAGTTCTTGTGACTCTGTGTGCATTGAAAGAGTCTGCAATACAATTGTATACAATACAATACAATTGTATGTAAGGGGCTGGGAATTTAGCTCAGCGGCATAAGCGCCTGCCTTGCAAGTGTGTGGTCATGAGTTCGATCCCTGGTACCGATAAAAAAAGAAAAAGACAAAAAAAAATACAATTGTATGTGAACTAGCTACTAGAACACATATGTAAAACATTCCCTTTAGAAATCGTACCTGATAGTCGATTTCAACACTCATCGCTGTAAACCTTAAGACTAGAAAACACGATTTGGATGAAAATACAATATAGTTCTTGTGACTGTGTCTGCGCTGAAAGATCCTGCAATGTAAATCTATGTGAACCAGCTCCTAGAATGTTGAGATAACTGATTCCACATAGACACCATACGAGACAGTCAATTTCAACACCCTTACAGCTGTAAGCCTTAAGACTAGGAAGCCCGATTTGGATGAAAATGCATTCCGGTTGTGATTCTGTGTGCATGGAAAGAGCCAGCAATAGAAATTTATGCGAACTACATCCTAGAACGCGGGAGTCCGTATAGAAATCATACATCATAGTCAATTTCAACACTCTCACACCTGTACGTCTTAAGACTAGCAAACCCGATTTAGGTGAAAATACATTCCCGATATTGTGTTTCTGTGTGTGCTGAAACAGCCTGCAGTAGAAATGAATGTGAACTAGCTGCTAGAACGTGGTGGTAACTCATTGCCCATAGAAATCATACATGACACACAATTTCAACAGTCTTACACCTGTAAAAGTTAAGACTAGAAAACATTATTTGGATGAAAACACCTTCCATTTCTTGTGATTCTGTCTACACTGAAAGAGCCTGCAACGGAAATGTGCGGGAACTTTCTCCTAGAACATGCAGGAACTCATTCCACATAGAAATTATACATGTCAGTCAATTTCGACACTCTTATACATGTAAACCTTAAGACGAGGAATCCCATTTTGGATGTAAATACATTCCATTTCTTGTGATTCTACGTGCGCTGAAAGAGCCTGCAATAGAATTGTATGTGAACTGGGTCCTAGAAGTGGGTGTAACTCATTCCGTGTAGAAATCATACGTGACACTCAATCTGAACACTTTTACACCTGTAAACCCTAAGACTGATGTAAATGAAATTCCATTCCCATCCTTGTGATTCTGTGTGCGTTAAAAGAGCCTGCAAATTATTTTATGTGAACTAGCTCCTAGAACGAGGATGTAACTCATAAACCATTGAAATCATACATGAAAGTCAATTTCAACACTCTTACACTTATAAACCTTAAAACTAGAAAACCCGATTTGGACGAAAATACACTCCAGCTCTCGTGATTCTGTGCGCGCTGAAGGAGCCTGCGATCAAACTGTATGTGACGTAGTTCCTGAAACGCAGGGCACAGCCTTCCACATAGAAACCACACGTGATTGTCAGTTTCAACATTCTTGCAGCTGTAAACCTTAAGACTAGAAAACCCAATGTGGGTGAAATTACCTTCCAGTTCTTGTGATTCTGTCGGCACTGAAAGAGCCTGCACTACAAATGTATGTGAACGAGGTCCTGGAACGTGGGTGTGACTCTCTCCCAGTACACACCATTCATAATAGTCAACTTCAGCGCTCTTACATCTCTAAAACTTAAGACCAGAAAACACGATTTGGATGAAATTGATTCTTTTGTGCCCTGAAATAACCAAAAGTAATTTATGTGAACTAGTTCCTAGAACGTGGGGTAACTCATTCCGCATAGAAATCATACATGATAGTCAATTTGAACATTTTTATATCTGTAAACTTTAACACTAGGAAACCCAATGTGGATGAAATACATTCCAGTTCTTGTGATTCTGTCGGCACTGAACGAGTCTGCAATAGAAATGTATGTGAATGAGCTCATAGAACAAGGGGTAACTCATTCCCCATAGAAACCATACATGACAGTCAACTTCAACACCCTTACACTTGTAAACCTCAAGACTACAGGGTGTTACCGTGAGGAGTTTGCCATAGATATGATGCATAGAGCAGAGGAGTGGCCGGGGGCAGGAGGTTAGGGTTAGCAGAGGGTGATGATTAGTGAGCCAGTGGCTTAGGGAAGCCTACCCCCACACCCAACATCCAGGCCACCCGAACGCCACTCGCCTCCTGGGGTGAGGGGTTGGGTGGAGAATGTGCGATGAACAGCCTCCGGCCAGTCCTGGTTAGCCCCTTAGGTCGAAAGGCATTGGCTTTGGAAGCTGGCAGTTTCCATGTCAGCGCTCTGAGGCCACCGCCTATTCCAACCGTTGGCCACCAGAGGGCGCAGCTCGAGAACCTAGCCACAGTGGAAGATTCAGAAGTCCACTGAGGGAGGCAGAGAGAGACATCACACACGCGCGTGGCACGCGACACATTCGTTCTGGGATAGACCTGTCCCGTGTTGTAGCGGGGCGCAGAAGGAAGGAGGTCGCCCGTTTGGGAAGGTTAGGCTCAGCATTAGGGTTTTTAGGTTGTGGAAGCCAAGGGAGGTGCTCTGCACACCACCTTCTCTGGGGACCGACCGGCATCTTCCCAGGATTACCCGTGGCCTTGCATCTGAGGCCAGTGTTTCTTCCCTGTCTCTCTTTTCAGCTGTAAGAGGCTGGAGCTAGCTGCCCAGAACGCCATCTACCCCAAGGATCACAACACCACGTTTCCTGCGGTGCCCAAGGCTCGTGATGTCTCCAGCTGCCATATGCAACAACGAGTTCCATGAGGTGCTAACCACTGCCCTGCAAACAGGAGTGAGCCTTGAGTGCCCGGCAGCCCTGGCTCGACATTCCCGCCTCTACAGCACAGCACAGCACAGCACAGCTGTCCCTCCACTGCAGAGGACACCTCCCCTAGGTATCGTCGTGTGCCCTGGGATTGGGCAGGCAGAGAGGGGAGGGGCTCCTTGGGGTGTCAGAGAACCTGGATCCTGGAAGTACCTCTGAGGATGATGTGTGTGTCCCCTTTAGCCACCAGGGGACGCTGTCTCATCCGAGCAGAAGCGTGGCAGGCAGGGAAGCTGATGGCATGGTAGTGAGGACTATTTCTCTCTCCTTTTTGCAGACGATCACCTCGTGTGGCAGTCGGTGCAGAACACAAGCATCTGTTGGCTCAGATCAAGGAGTGTATATTTTGTACAGGGAGGGCTTCCCACGTGGGACCGAGGCTTTGGTTGGAGTCTGCAGGCCACTAGGCTTGGTTCCAACCTCTGGTGGCTGCTGCTGGATCCCAGGACCCTCTGAGGTGCCAGTACCCTCGGGTGGCTATAGATACGTATCCTGCCTGCCTGTTTCTAGCGTGCACGTGTGTGTGTGTGTGTGTGTGTGTGTGTGTGTGTGTGTGTGTGTGTGAGTGAGAGGGGGGGGGGGAGGATGTCTTGCCCCAGCGGGGCCCTCTACCATGGACAGGTCAAGGGGTCAGGGGATCCCTAAGGAAGGCCATGACCCAGGAAGGAGCCCATCGGGGAGCACCAGACGGTGGCACACTGATGGACAGAGGGTCACACAGACTCATCTACCTGTCTGTGGCAAGTGAAGGAAAAAGAACTGTGTCAACACACAGATGGGCCAGTTTTTCTGGGGCCTGTCTTTGAGGAACCTGCAGCCCTGTCCCCGTTTGTCTGGCTGGCTGGCTGGCTGGCTGCCCAGGAGGGAGCCACCCTGATACCTGCTGCCAAGGGTGCCAGAGCACCCTTGATGAGGGACATGAGAGAGGTGGTGAAAAGTGCCTTCTGATGTCTCTCTCTGGGCTGTAGGGGAAATCAGGGTTTTGTGTGTGTGTAGGGCTGGGTCGGCATCCAGTGTGTCCTGGGAATGGGCTCAGTCCTTCTGAAGAGGAGGCACAGCCACTCGAATGATTCCCTGCTGTCAATCTTCCCTCCCTCCACGGGGCCTCCAGTGTTGGGGTTTTGTTTCCCCCCTACCCTTACCTTCAGGCTCAAACAAGAGTCTGCATTGTGCCACTAGCTACCCTCCAGGGCCAAGGTTGGGGTCACCAAGCAGCCTGATATCAGATACTCTCCTGAGGTTCAGGAGGGAGCAGTTCCCGTACTGCCCAGAGGGACCAACCCTCTCTCTGGAGCACAGCCTCGTGTGCCCCATTTGCCATCACCCTCCCTCCCGCGGTGAGGGGCTACAGACCCCTACTCCCGATGAGCCCATGACCAGTCAATGTCAGATGCTAGCTAATGCATTTCCAGTGGGATGGGAAGTGGGATGGGACCTTTGGAGCCAGGCAGGGGAGTGCTGGATGAGGGCAGGGGAGTGGACCCCAGGGGTTGGTTAGGCTTAGGTCTGGCACAGGGTGAGGGTTAGGGACTGCTGAGGTCAGCCAGCCAGTGGCTCAGAGAAGCCTGAGGCCTCCTCTGTCAACCCCCACCCCCACTCCCTCCCCCACACACCCCAAAGGAATGTCTGCTTGGATGCAGGATTAGATGGCCCCCACCCAAGGAGGAAGTTGCTCTGTCTGTTCAAACTGGAGACTCTGGTTGAATATTTCCTCCTGGAAAAATCTATTGTGTTTCTCTGTTCCAAAGTTAGCATCGGGAAACAAGGAGAAAGTGCTCACTCACTGTACAAGTCCAGGAGTAAAGCAGAAGGAGGCAGTGAGCAGGGTGAGCCATGCCCTCCACGCCCCCACACACAGGAGAGAAAAACCCTGTTGATTCACCAAGGAGGCGGGAGGAGATGAGTGTGTCAGTCTGTCAGAGGCTAAGTGTAAATCCCTGTCAGACTGTAGCTGAATCTCATTTCCAGCGGGATATCTCTCTGGTTTGGTGGTTCTCAGACCAAGAGCCCTGTGGGGGGAAAAAAGCCAGAGAGAATGTTGAGGTTAGTTAGTTTCCCAGCCTCCCGGACACGCATTTGGGCACCAATCAGTGCAAGTTTACCACACACACGTGCTCCCCGCCTCCATCCACACCCTAAGTCTAACCACACACACAGATGCCCTGACGATCACCTATAACCCTGGCACACACAGTTCAGCAAGCTCGGCCCGCTAAACTCCAACTGTATCTCTCCATTGGGCCAGGCTTGGACTGACTCCCTAGACCCTTCACAAACCCACCTGAGTCCTGTTTGCCTCTTTTCTCTCTTTCTTTTCTCTCTCTCTCCCTCTCTCCCCCTCTCCCTCTCCTTTCCTAGTTTGGTTCTCTCCAGAGGCTTGTTTCCAGGGCCTTTGGGGGCATTTGCACTCTGGGCTTCCCTCCATTCCCTTGGCCTCTTTTCACTGGCTCTCTCTGCTTTTGTCATGCAGCTGGCCCGTGCTTGAGGCTGTCTCTCAGCGGTTTTGTTGGCCCCATGTCTCTTTTCGCTCTCTCCCTGCCCACGATTTCTCAGATCCCAACACCACACACAGAAGCACCTAGGCCTTGGTCCTCACCGTGAGCCTAACACACGCAGCTCAGCTCAGCTCAGCTCTGCTCGGTTGATTCCAGATGTGCGCCTCTGTCTGTATCTGGCTGCTCAGATTCCCACATCTGTGCTACACAAGCACCCTTCAGTCCCTTTGCCTCTCTCTGACCCTCCCCGTTTCCATCCCCCTGTCTTGCCCTTTACCACCCTCCTGCCCCGCTCTGTGCTTTCCTGGGGCCCTTGGACTCTTTCTGCCTCTCTCTCTCTCTGTGGCTCTCTCTGGCTGTCTCTGTCTCTCTGTGCCTCTGTCTCTGTCTCAGCTTTCCTCTGGCCCTTGGCTATTTTTGGTTCTCTCTCTGCTTTTGTTTCTGGGATGCCTTGCCTGTTTCTGCTCTCTCTCTGCTTTTTGTCCATTCCCTTTGCCTCCTTTTGCTTGCTCTCTCTCTCCCTCTCCCCATCTCCGCTCTCCTGGGGACCTCTACCGGTCTTTGGTTCTATCTGCTTTCGTTTCCAGAGCCCCCTGGGGACTTTTTTTCACTCTCTCGGCTTTTCTCCATTCCCTGGGCTGCTTTTCAGTCTCTCTCTGCCTTTTTTCCTGTCCCTGGCCTTTTTGGGGGCTGGCTCTCAGCTGTTTGTGTGGCCCCACCCGTGTCTCTTTCACTGCCTCCCTCCCCATTATTTTTCAGACCCTACCAACACAAACACACACACACACACACACACACACACACACACACACACACACATACACACCAGCCCTGATCCTCACCCAAGCCTTAGGGTTAGGGTTGGGGTTAGGGTGTTAGTGTTAGGGGCTTAGGGTTAGGGACTTAGGGTTAGAGGGATAGGGTTAGGGTTAGAGGGTTAGTGTTAGCGTTAGGGTTAGGGTTAGGGTTAGGGTTCAGGTTAGGGCTAAGTTAGGCTTAGTGTGAGGGCAAAGTGTTAGGGTGTTAGGAGTCAGGGTCATGTTTCAGTGCTCCAAGCAATGGTCCTCAATTTAGAGACACTGGAATGGTCGAGGCTCCCCTCCAAACACACATAGGCCCCCTTCTCCAACTTTACACTAAAACACACACAAGCCATGTACTTCATGCTCAACCTAAAATCGCATGTGTGCCCTGTTCTCCTGGCTCACCCTAAAAACACAGACATCCCCTGTTCCACAGAATCACCCTAAAAACACCTACATGCCCCGTTCTCCAACTTTACACTAAAACACCCCAACTCCCAGGCTTGGAGCAAAGATGGCAGATAGAGGCCAACTGGATAGAGGCTCCCTCAGATAGTCAACTTAGAATTCAACATGAGACAGAGTGGGGAGCCCCAAACAGAGGGAGATAAATTCTCTCATCCCAAGAATTTAAGGTGAGAAGAATCAACCAAACATACAGTCCCAGTGCTATTACTGGAACAGCTAAATGTTCAGTGTTCCCGCTTGCTACTTGCTGACCATCAGAGGTCCCACCATGACTTACCATGGTCCTGCCACAGCTTGCCGAGTCGTCCCGAGTCCCACCGCTTGGACTCACTGGAGGCACAGTTACATTGAGCTTGGGGGTCGGCGAGCTGAATGGAGAGCTGAGTCGGCAGGGTGCCTGCATCAACCCGAGGTGATGACAGGAGTAGAATCATTCCACAAAAGGGGGGCTCTGACCGAAGACATTCTGGGACAGGGCAGGACTGGCAAGTACAAGGGCATCAGTGACTTCAGTCAGTTGTTCCCTTCCCGAACGGGATTGGTGGAGTGAGCTAGGCCTGGGTCATGTGACCAGGCTGAGACCCAATAGGTTATCCGAAATCAGGTCCCTACAGTGGTGGCGCACACTCACCACAGTAACTCAGTGAAGCCTCAGAAGTTTGACTGATCCGGAGGGGAGGTGGCACAAAGTAAAACAGTGCAGGCCTCAGCAGCTTGACTGACCTGGAAGAGACGGGCCAGTATATCTGTCTGCAACTCACTAGCACACGGCAGTGGGAAGGGTCATCTAGCCAGCATGTTTCAGAGGAATTGTAACCAACAAAGAAAGAAACTGGGGCCTCCTGGAAGGAGCAAAACAGATGGGAAGAGGAAGCAACAACAAAAAGTCCCCAGGTCCCAACCCTGAGAACATTGAGCCAGGACAGGAAATACAAAGGAGATTGAGAACACCAAACACGCACTATCAGACACGGCACCAGGAGACATAAAGAGACATATCTGGCTGAGGGGGCTGGGGATTTAGCTCAGTGGCATAAGCACCTGCCTTGCAAGTAGGCAGTCGTGAGTTCGATGCCCGGTACCTATGAAAAAAGATAAACAAAAGACATATATTTGGGGCCTCATAGACGAGTTGAAAAGTGAAATATTTAGCCAAGTAAAGCCAGATATAAGAGGATTAAAAAAAGAGATACTAAGCACCCCTCAAGCAGACACTGATGAAAGAAGGGAGGAACTCAAAGGAGAGAACCATTTGATGAAGAACATAAAAAATAAATAGATTACATGAAGCAGATTCAAAAAGATCACCAGAAAATTAAAAACTCTATGGAAAGACGGCAAATTGGCTTGAAAGAAACTGAGGATAGATTATCCAAACTGAAGGACAGTTTTGCAATGTGGGAATATGAAAGGGAAAACTTTTTAAACGTCACAAGGCAACAAGCAGCAACAATACAAAGGCTAGAAGACGACAAGAGGATCTATAGCTTGAGAATAAAGAACGTGGATGAAGAAGCAGGGGTACAAACAAAGGAACTACAAATGTTATTCACAGAAATAATTAAGGAAAAATCCCAAACATAGGAAAAGGAAATGATATTCTAATATATGAGGCATACAGAACTCCAGTCACCTACAACCCAAACAGAGCTACACCCAGGCATATAATAAACAAGATCCCAGAAAGTCAATATAAGAACAGAATATTAAAAGCTGTTAGAGACAAGAAACAGATCACCTATAAAGGAAGGCCCATCAGAATAACAGCAGATTTCTCAACGCAAACCATCAAGTCAAGAAGAGCCTGGAGCAAAATATTCCAAGCCCTGAAAGAAAATAACCTCCATCCAGATTGATATACCCTGCTAAACTGTCTTTAGAAATTAATGGAGAAACAAGATGCTTCCAAGACAAAAAGGAACTTGGGAAATTCGCAACCACCAATCCAACTCTCAGAGAATACTGCAGGGCATTCTAGAGAGAGAAAAGTATTAGGATTCCAGGAAGAGTGGCAGAGAAGCCTCATTGAATGGAGCAAAAAATAGAATGAAGAAGATAAGCAAAAGAAGATGGCAAAGAAAAGCATAACAGAAATGAGGCAGAGAAGATATTATTCAAAACTGATATGATTGATAGTATCAAGTCTGAGAGTACAGGCAACTACACTGAAGATGACAAGACTCTACGATACACATTCTGGCTTGATAACTGCCAGTTTTTGAAGTTCTATATACAGAGTTGTGTTTTTATTCATATGTTATGTACTGACATATTCAAATACTATGTTTGATGATATAGCCAATTCTACTGGAGATTACAACAGACAACCCAGGAGCCATGGTAGGACTCTTTGTACAATGGTCTTATATGTTTTCTTCATTTCATGTGTTTATAAGAATATGTTTTCTTTTGTCTTGCTTTGTTTTATTACTCCCTCTAATATAGAAAGGATAGAAATACATGTTAAGACTCATGCATGTATAGAACCTATAAACAGTTATGACAACTGATCTTATGACACATGATGAAATAAACAGATACTTTGAAGAAAAAGAGACACTACAGTACCCAGTGCTGACCCGAGTGTCATGATGTCAAATCCAGCAATACTAGTATTCTTGGTTCAGAGTGATTCTAGCTGGCTTTGGTTTCTTTATTCTCAACATAAATGAAGATATAGATAACTGCATGTATGTTTAAATGTATAGGATGGATAACCATGTTGCTAAGTTTTTATTGGATAGTTGAACACATTTTAGTCTTGCTGTTTGAATTCCCACTTATATGTTGCACTTTTGTATCTTGAGCTATTATTTGTAAGAGGACAATATGTAAACATCAACTAGTTATTTATTAGTTTACTTTTTCTTTGAAAGTATGTATTATTTCTACCCATTTTCTGTTTTGTGTAGTCTTTCTTTAAGTAAAATAATTAAAAGTTAAATTAAATTAAATTAAATTTTTAAAAAGGTGAAAGGGGAGGAATTGTCTAAAAAGGGAAGGCAGTGGCCATTGTTTCTCTTTTATCATGATTTGAAACTCATTTTGTTTTCTTCGTTCAGTTCAGTTTGGTTTTATTCTGTTCCAGTTTGTCTTCTTGTACTGGTTTGACGGTATGGACAGCTATGCCAAATATATCATGGTATATTATTGTAACCATTTTTATTTCCTATTAACTTGATTTTGAAGCCCTGTATTACTTTCACTCTCTTGTTTTGACTGATTTTACTCATTTGTTTTATTTGCTAGTATCAAGTCTGAGGATATAGGCAACTACTTTGAAGACAATAAGATTCACTATGATACCCATTCTGCTTTAACTATTAACTTCTTTTGAAGCCCTGTAATGTCTCCAGTGTTTCATTTTTATTGGTTTTGTTCTATACTGTTTTGTTCAATTTTATGACACCTATGCGCAATTCTTTTGAAGATAGCAAGAGGCATTATGGTAACCATTGTTGATCACACTGTATTTTGGTTTTACGTCATGTGCTATGTCCATCCTTTTGTTTTGACTTACTCTATTTTGTTTTGTCACATTTGGTTGTATTCTCTTCAAAAAAAGTAATAAGAACTGAATGACTAATAAACCAAAAGATGTGTAATTATTATCAAAAAAAAGAGAGGAAAAGAGAGTGTTCTAAAGGTATATAACAGCATGTACATTTAAGTGTGTAAGATAGATAACCATATTACTAAGTTTTTGTTGGACCGCTGAACAGAACTGTTTACAGTTTCACTATTTGAATGTCCACTTTGTATGCTTTAATTTTGTAACTTGAACAACTATTTGTAAGATGATAATATCTAATCTATCAACTTGTGATTTCTTATGGTTTATTGTTTTGAAATTCTGAATCATTTCTACCCTTTTTTCTGTTTTAATTTTTTTATCTTTATATAATTTTTTAAAAAAAGAACAAACTAAAGAATACCTACAGCCGGTAGGGGGCTGAGGATCTAGCTCAGCGGCATAAGCGCCTGCCTTGCAAGCAGGCAGTCGTGAGTTCGATCCCCGGTACCGATAAAAACGAAAAAGCAAAAAAAAAAAAAAAAGAATACCTACAGCCAGGCCTCGTGGCTCACGCCTGTAATCCCAGCACTCAGGAGGTGGCGGCAGGAAGATCGTCGCGAGTTCGAGACCAGCCTCGGCTACAAAGTGAGTTCAAGGCCAGCCTGAACTGCATAGAGACCCTGTCTCAAAAAGACAAAAAAAAAAAAAAAATTAAATTAAAAAAAACAATACCTACAAGCAAACAAAAACACAAATACAACTTACCAGAATCTGTGGGATGCAAAGAAATTGGTCCTCAAAGGAAAATATATTGCACTGAGTTCCCACATCAGGAAAAGAGAACAAATACAAATAAGCAAGTTGATGTTACACCCCAAACATCTAAGAAAAGAAAAGCAAGTCAAGCCCAAAGTCAAAAGAAGGGAGGAAATTATAAAAATCAGAGCAGAAATTAATGCAATAGAGACTAAGAAAATAATCCAAAAAAATCAATGAACCATAGAGTTGGTTCTTTGAAAGAATAAATAAAATTGATAAGGCCCTAGCCAACCTTATTTTAAAAAGGGAAGAAAAAACTCAAATTCATACAATAAGGAATGAAAAGATGAAATCACTACAGACTCTGTGGACATATAGAAGATCATCAACACCTATATTTCAAAAACCTCTATTCTCACAGGTTCGATAACACAGAAGAAATGGACAGATCCCTAGAAACATATGAAGTACCAAAGCTGGGTCAAGAAGATGTAACACTGCTGAATAGCCCAATTTCTAGTAATAAAATTGACAATGTAATTAAGTCTTTACCTACAAAGAAGAGCCCAGGCCAGACGGATTCAATGTGGAATTCTATAAGAAATACAAAGAAGACAATGCCGACACTCCTCAAAATCTTCAATGAAATTGAAAGGGAAGCAATTCTTCCTAAGTCATTCCTGGAAGCAAATATTACTCTAGTATCAAAAACTGAGAAAGACCCAACTAAAAAGAGAACTACAGGCCAATCTCCCTAATGAACACAGATCCAAAAATCCTCAATAAAATATTGGCAGATAGGATAAGCAAATCATCAAGAAGATTATACACAATGACCAAGTGGGATTCATCCCAGGCATGCAGGGATGGTTCAACATACGTAAATGAATAAGTGCAATCCACCATATCAATAGATCCAAAAGTAAGAATCACATGACCATTTCTATAGATGTACAAAAAGCTTTTGATAAGGTCTAACACACATTCATGATAAGAATCTTACAGAAAATTGGAATAGATGGTCTTTAATTCAATATGATAAAGGCCATCTATGGCAAACCAACAGCCAGCATCATATTAAATGGCCACAAACTGAAGGCCTTTACTTAAAGTCAGGCACAAGACAAGAATGTCCCTTATCACCACTCCTATTTAACACAGTACTGCAAATACTAGCCAGAGCAATTAGATGAGAGGGAAATAAAAGGAGTAAAGACAGGAAAAGAGGAAATTAAATTATCATTATTTGCAGATAACATAATACTCTACATAGAAGACCCCCAAAATTCCATTGAGAGAGACTCCTAGATATAATAAATAAATTCAGCAATGTAGCTGCATACAAAATCGATACTCAAAAATCAGTAGCATTCCTATACACTAACAACCAAGTCACTGAGAGAGAAATAAGAGAAGCCACCCTTCATACTAGCATACAAAAAAAAAAATTAAATGCTGACGAATTAATCTAACAAAAGAAGTAAAAGATCGATAAAGGGAAAGTTATAATATCTTTTTTTTACATTTTTTTATTTAAGCAGAAAAAGAAAAAAAAGCAGAAAAAGGGTACAAGTTATACAGAATTTCAGAAAAAAATAAACAGTAGGAAATCACTAGTTAATGGGTTACATATTATCATCTTAGAAATATTTGTTCAAGTTATAAGATTAAAGCATAAAGTAGACATTCAAACAGCGAGACTGAAAAGAGTTCTGTTCAATGATCCAACAAAACTCAGTAATATCATTGTCTATTTTATACACTTAAATTTACACGCAGTTATACCATTTAGAGAACTTTCTTTTCCTCTCTTTTGTACAATGACTATTACACATTTTGGGTTTTATTGCTCCCACAGTTCTTATTGCTTTTTATGGAAGAGAGTAAAACCAAATGTGACTTAACAGAACAGAATCGGTTAAATCAAAAGGGTGGACATAATAGATAATGTAAAAACATAATACAAGGTGATCAACAATAGTTACTATAATGCCTCCTGCTATCTCTAATAGAATTGCCTATATCATCAGTTATAATAAAATTGAACAAAACAGTAAAGAACGAAACCAACAAGACCAAAACATTGGAGACATTACAGGTCTTCAAAAGTAGATAATAGCCAAGCAGTATGGGCATCATAATGAATCCCACTATCTTCACAGCTGTTGCCTAAATTCTCGAACCTGGTACTACCAAGCAAAACAGAATAGAGTGAAATCAGTGAAAACAAGATGGTGAGAGCAATACAGGGCTTCAAATCAAGTTAATAGAATATCAAAGTGGGTTACTATAATATATCCTGATTTTTTAAGATTTATTTTTCCTTTAATTAAAAGGATAAAAAAGTAAATAATAAAATGGAGATTGAGATAAAAGAGGGCTTAACAATTAAACAGTACAGATCAATACATAACCATTTAAGCAAATTAGTGTTTCACCACAAGATAATCCCGACATAAAAGTAGTTACCACATTGTCTCTTTCCTTGAGATCTTTGAGTATAACTTCGTATACTGTAGCATCAAATATATCAACACAATGTATAACCATTCAAGAGAATGACAGTATTACATGGTATTTAGAATCAACTAACAGATAATGAACTATGGTTTCTGTATAATCTCCTTGTCTATAAAAGTTTTTGTTTATACTATCACATATAATAAAATCCAATAAGATACAACATGTTAAGATCTATGGAGACAGAAGCACAAAAGCTTGATGGGACTTCAAAACAAGATGATACCAAATCAGCACTACCTATTATGACGTTGTTTTCTCCAAGACAGCTGTTCCTATCATCCAATCTTCTCTGCCTCATTTCTCTTGAGCTCTTTTTCTGTCATTAGTTGTCAGCTTGTCTTCTTCATTTTGTTTTCTGCTCCATTCATTGTGGCCTCTCTGCCACTATTTCTGGATTCTTCATATTTTTCTATTTTTAGAATATCCTGCAGTATTCTCTGTAGCGTTGAATTGGTGGTTGCATATTCCCCTAGTTCCTCTTTATCCTGAAAGCA